ATCTATATATATATCTATATTTACATATATACATATACATATATATATATGTATATGTATATGTGTATGTATTTGTATATTATGCGTATATATGCATATATGTATAATTATATGTATGTTCTTTATATGTGTGCGTCGGTTGTGTTAGCGTACCGAGCTTTCAGCGGACGGTTTGTCGAGTATGGCTCATGTTCGGTGTCAATTCGTATGTGCGTGCCCATATGTGTCAAGGATAAAGCACTCCGGACTATTAACTTGTCTCCTGTCGCCGTTCGTGCGAAAACGTATACAACTACGCTTACTTTCGATACCCGTTTATTCTTTAGCACATTCTAGTTTGTATCTTTGTGTAGTATGCATATCGAATCCTTTGCCTGATTCAATCGCAATACTCCAACTACTCCATGCAGGCGGAGACAATCCGATGTCTAAATCAAACTATGGCATGAGCAAGTGCGGCGTAATTGCACTTGTAAAGCTTCTGGCGGCCGAAGAGAAGCAACGCGCTCCCACCGACGGGTAAGCGATCTGTGCCTTCCGTAGGCTATATTTCTTCAACCTGTCAATGTACCGTAGTGCTGGTGGACCGTGGCGACTACTATGTGTTGGCGTATAAGTGCATACGATGATTAGAACAAGTTTCACTACGTGTGCTCGACCGATGCTCAAGAAGAAATAACAGACTGTGAGTTAGTGCACTCGAATATGATGTATTTGTATTTATTTTCTATTGTTTCTGATGTGGGGTTCTGCGCTCTGCAAGTTTTTAGCTGCTTCAAAAGAGCATACAAACGCTTATTTGTGACTCCATAACATTATATGGGTATAAACAGATACACCAAATTTAATTACGTTCTAGTGGTCGTCCGCTAGCTATTCAATCCACACGCCGCACTGTAGTGTCATTCATATAGTCCCATTCATAGTGATGTACTTCGGCATCTAGTCCTGTATAGGCAAATTGCCTTTGAGCATTCCTAGACTCGTTAAGCATATGACTCAACATTCACTCATCGCTGACCCACCAGGAGTGCATCCATTTTCTATACATGCTTCTGCCCGGGATACTGTAGTACTTCCATGAGTAGTCACATAGGGCCGAGATCGGCTGAAAAGGGCGCAGGCGAGTATTTCTAACGCATGTTCCTCGCTATTCCGTCCATCGGTACCGATTCATTCGTATATATATATATATATATTATATATACATATAAAATAGCGTGAGTGAGTGTGTGTGTGTGTGTGTGTGTGTGTGTGTGTGTGCTTGTGTGTGTGCGTGTGTGTGTGTGTGTGTGTGTGTATGTGTATAGGTGTGTGTGACTGACTTCGGTTCTACCTGGATCTGCCATACGCGTCTACGTGCACGGAACATAACATATCGCCACACACGACGGCTCTTTCGAATATACTGAAGTTACACGTTTGTTCTTAACTTGATATGCTCGATCTTAGCTCGATCTATGCTCGATCTTGTGTGGTTTGTACCGTAAAAAGTGTTGGCTATAGTAATTCTATAGCTACTGCAGCCTAATCGAAGTTGTGTGCATTTCCTATCACTCAGGGATGTTTATATTGACGGTTCTGGTTCTGTTTCTTGTCAAATCCATGTACCCATACATATAATTGGCTATTTCTCTTCTTCGCAGAAACGGGTGTGTGGCTCGCGACAAAAGATTTCTCATGGGAAGATGCCGGTGGGTTTTACAATGATTTGGAAAAACTAAGCTGGAGATCCCAGTCGTTTAAGTAGCCATCCTCGAGTAAGATCTAATCTCACCTGCTCGGCTGGTTCAGTGCAATTTCACTATCTAAAGGATTTTGGACAATAATATCAGCCTGTGTCTGCCACTCAGCAACCAAACGCATTTGAATTCGTATATTAAATGTTCGATTGAAGTAAGAATCATACAACTTCTGCGTAAGTATCCTGTATATAATTAAGCACAATTAAAATTTGATGATATTGGTCTCAAAAGATTTACACCACTCATTATTTATATATATATAATAAAGTATTGATTACTGGCTTATGTGTCTCGGTCGATAGGGAATAGTTCCAATAAACACTACACATGATATATACGTAGATGTCCTCCATCAACAGACTAAACTTCGAACACGCGCTCGTTTGGGCCGTGCAAGAGCCCACCATTTCCTCACATTGACCGACTACCCTAGTGAATCCTGGAGATACACTTATCCTTTGCCCATGTGTGGAGTGATTGGCGTAGTCTGGATGCTTCTTCAGGTTGGTGCATTTTTAACTATTTCAATCTCTGAAGACTGGGAGGAATACATATTGTCGGCAGATGGGACACTTCTGTGTGTATATTTTTCGAGATTTTTTTCAACTTTCTCAAGCGGCCACTGGCCCACTGTATCTGACATCTTTGCCAGTCATGAGCATGATTCACATGTGATTCACTGTGGGGCATCGCCTGGTGATGGCAAGTAGAAGGCCAAGCGCCGAATTGATGAAAATGAGAGGGTTGAGATCGCGACAGATCTATAGTATATATCTGTATTATATTGGTCTATCTAAAGCATATTGATACATGCAGAGGCGAAGAGGCGAAAGCGTTTCATCCGCAAGAATCTAACGCTATTTGCGGCATTTATGGTAGTAGTGGCGATTGTTTAGAGAAGCATAAAACGGGATAGGAGGATTGTATGAATTTAAGAAGTCATTGCGAACCCCTATACGAATTTTTGCAGACAAAACAAAGAAAGAATTCTGATGTGTGCTTCCAGTATTCTAAAATAGTGTGCACACAGATGGAAGGAAAACTTATGTAGTTGCGTGCAGGTGTATCTAAATGATGGACTCGGCTGTCCTCGTACATGATTGGAATATGCACAAATACGGATTCGAATATGCGACTACGCATAAACATACGTTTGGCTTGAACCTACAATATCAAATTACGGTTAAAAATGTTCGCTATGTACAGCTTGATCTATCATGAATTCGATTTGGTTCGTAAATACGTATACTTTGCATTTCATGACACACACTCTTGATAGTTTGCTATATCAATCAAAACATATATTCACTTTGTAAGATCAAGTATAAACCCTAAAGATACATTCTTCCAAAAATACATATCAATTTAAACTCTTTCCAGTCCCCGATAACCTCGCAAGTCTCTCGCCGCGACTCAGCCTCGCCTTCCTTGCCTCTTGTAATAAATATACCCCGAAGAAACAAGTGAGAAGTGGTAGGATACTACACGGAGGGCGCCAAAGTCACAGCCAATGGTAAAGTTATGAGTATAATATGCCGGCCGGCACACATTTATTTCCATACACAAACGAATAAAACTTACACACTCAGATTCTCAGAATCTATAAATAAATATGAATCGATAACAAAAAGCCGTCAATGTACTGTAAAGGTCAATTATTTATGTATTATAACTTTATCCCTTTATGTATCACTATACGAACGCTGTGCTCACATAGTAGGTATTTCCAAACTTTCAGTTCGATGCAGCTACAGACATATTGAGAGGATACTGTTCTCATAAACTACTTGTAGATAAACCACTCGTGTGATCATGCAACATCATTGGTAGCTTCTTCTTATACCGGTTACCGGGAGAATGCAATTGCACAAGTATTGCACACATTACCAACTTTCACTCGACACGTCAAAACGTGAACGTGAGAATTGATTACTCCGCCTCTTAATATGTATTAGTTGTCTGGCGACAGAGGGATGTGAGTGAACGCGAAGGTCTTGCCAAAATGAATAGGAATTATGAATACCCGCTGTATTCCCACCCGAATCGTGGAGGTATGATCTTGTGCTCAAACGCACATTACATCTTGCGACGCTTTGTACTCACGTGATAGTGATTAGCTGGGCCTTATGATTAGATATTGTCGGAAGCTCAGGAATATTTTTCTTTAAATCCCAATCGTTTCTTGAGAGGGTCAACCTTTGGTACTCAATATAAAGCATGCTTGTGTGATTCTTACAACTTGTGTCGTGGTGTGACACCACAGTATGTATCCTTAATACGAGTTCATTTTAGATATCTCTCGACGTATATATACCGGTTTCTTTTCTGGCCCTATGTTTAAGCCTTGTATTAGTGCTGTCCCCTTCCATGAATGCATATTTGAATTTATCAGAGGTGGTGTGCAAATCAAAGACCTCGCTCGGTTATGCAACATCGTGTACAGAACTCGTCTTCTCAAACGTTGCGGTATGATAGTGCGCTTGTACAGACTACTGTGTGTTGCTATTCGAGGTATGTGTCGGAGTCCTGTGTCTGTCAAAATGGATGAATATGTGGGTGTTGAATATCTCACTGACAGCAGATACGCATCGCTGTGTATATGTACAGCAAGTATCTTGGTCCCCTATGATTACTTCATGTCCCCATGATTATAACGCATATGCTCGACTGGATTATATCTTCTATTTAGTGCTCTCTTCATGCTCTGCTTATCTGTCAATATGATGGGTCAAATGACCCGAGGATTGGATTACATACAACTATATTGGACATGCATGAACTGAACTGCCTTCCCAAGCTATCTCAAGTATCACACAGTCTGTTGCGCTCTCGTCCAGGACGAATCTCGCGCTTACACCGCGCATAATAAATGGTTTTCTGAGCAAACAACTGTTAGCGTCACCCAGGGTGTACGAGACTTCGAGTCTTTGCACATAGCACTAGTAAGCGTATGCTGTCACCTACATTATCTGTACTTACCACAAAATACAATTAATCGTTGCCAACCCAATTCTCAAAACATGCCCTCGAGATTGCAAGCGAGATATGCCGGTGTGTGAAAGTACGGAATATCAGTGTAAATATTCAATCATGAAGTTGTTGCCGACTCTTAATATGAAAGATAGCTGAATAGCAAATGTAATCGTACACTTTCAGTCACATATTATTGTCATTCATACATTCCCCTCTGCAGCAAATGAATACTCGATTGGCAACGGAATAAAAAATTATCCGCATCGCCTGAGTGAGAGACCCGTGCCCGTGCCCAGAGCGGACAGCGCGTCGGGAAGGGAGCCTACAAATAGACCACGCGACTCTCTAAATAGATTACAAGACCCCCATCACCACACAGAAGCACATATGAATGAGCACGCAAACGCTCGCACCAACACACAGCCACACAACCATGGGAGCCTGTCATCAAGAGAGAGGCCAGCGAGCGAATACACACTGGCTGCGCCTCACAGAAGTGCGTGTCCCGATGCTGATTCACGCACTAGTTCGGGGAGGTACACACGCACGGATGTTTGGCCCAAGTACCATTCGGATATGGTGGCCCAAAAGGGCGGCAAGTCGCTGCACAGTGCACCTATGCAGCAGCGCAATTCAGATGGTGACAGCATGCGCTCGGTTAGTAGCAGTGACCGTGGCGCTGCTGACGTAGCACTCAGAGACAGAGACAGAGGTCAGGACAGGGAGCGGGAAACCCAGTCAATGAAGCTACATGGCCGTGATATATTCGTGGGTAGTGATGTTGAAAGTAGAGCTCACGTGCGCACAGATAGGGATGTTGGCAACGGGTCCGTTAGATCGATTGACTTCAGGGTGGGAAAGGCTAACGGTAGCGTGAAAGAGAGGGAACATCGGAAGACAAGTGCGAGTTGGAAGGCCGATGGCAGTACTGCGCGAGAGTTGGGTGGCGGGCTTTCAAACGCCCCTGAGCAAAGGCATGAGCTTGGTGATGATGTAGGCAGATATATTGATACAGGTAGATATTCCGATACAGATAGATATGATCGATACCACAAACCTAATGGGAATGGAGGTAGATTTACAGGCACTACACTGTCGAACGGTGTGCCGCAGACCAACGGGGTGTATCACGGTAGGGACGGGAGTAGAGCGGATTCCACAGTCACGGTCAGCGATAACAGGCCGAAGGCGTCCTTAGGTGACGACCATGCGCAACTTCGACCATCACGCGGGTACGCACGTGCAGGCAATGATATCACCTACGGTGAACCAGGTAGACGAGCGCGAGAAAGAAAGCCCGAACAGACCCAGCAAAAAAGCCCAACGGCGTCAAGGCGGTGGCGTAAGGACGATCTAAGTGAGGGTGTACTCGGTAACCATGACAACGGTTTACGCAGGCTGAGGTCGGGACAGGAAGAAGTGTATGTACTGCGGCAAAAGCGGCGGCAAATGGGAGAGGGGGATCCGGTGACTATGCGGGATAGTGAGCAGAGCGATGGTAGATTCAGGAGACGAGCACAGACTGTATTATTCGATGGCGATTTTCATAATAGCAAAGGTCATCGTCTGCACGACGAGAAGGATGTGCTTCAGACACGTGACCGGCCGCAAGACACGCGCACGCACCCCACACGTGTTCGCCGAGACTATCTGGCTGAAGAAGATCCGAAAGATTTCGAAGATATCGACCACAGGCATAAACCTGAGCGTATCTTTGATAGCGAGCAGGACCGTGTGCATGAGCGTGGTTATAGGCGAGGGGATGCCGACGCCTACGATCGTCCGGATAAGAGTTATAGGAGTGGCTATAGAGTAGACAGCCTCAGGCGTGGGCGATTCATTGGCGATGGCAACGCAAGCACCGGCAGCGGGAAGAGGAGAGGGGGCTCAGGCCCAGATAAGGTAATGTACACCTATCCCGACGAGGGCTATGATGACAGCTACGAACGGTACCAGAGCAACGACCGAGTGCGGGGTAGAGCCACGCAGAGAGAGAGAAGTAATAGAGAAAGAGAGGATGCTACACAGTACGCGCCGAGCACTCGTGGCCTTGTTCCTAGGGAAGATGACGAGTTGAGAGTCTATAACGCCAGCCCTCGGACTAGGCGCAGCAAAAGCGCACCGCGTTCCCGAGTGGAGGCCAATGGAGTGACCAGATGGGGCGGGGTGGGGGGTACGTATTTGACCGCAGAACAGTACCTGGAACGTATGCGGGCGGGCGAGCGAGGCCAGGAGAAAGGCGTAGCCCTGCACGAATCAGCCGTCAAGATTGGGTGAGGAGCCAATGTGATGTGCATCGACGTGGTGGATAGGTGGTGTTTGGTGTGTATGAGTTTGTGTCCGTGTCGTGTGTTTATTCTTACTGTTAAAACCGATGCAGAAGTGTGTAAAGTACTGTACAGTTGCTGGCATGGAATGTCGATGCATCAATCGCTTCCTTGAACGAGAGTAGTTTGAAGTGGACTCAATGAGAATTAATTTCAAATTTCGCCCCGAGTCCAAAAGCATGGTGGCACATACTCTGACTACACTCTGTATGCGTGCCACCATGATATACAGCGACTAACACGAGCAGTATCATGAACTCGATCTTTAATTCCAGTAGTAGGATACCATTCGCTCACGGGGCTCCGCTCAGAACCGAGTACGCGGATATAAATAGACAGCCTGCTATTAAAAGACCCGACTTCGGATCACCGCCAATCAACGCAAACCGGGGAAACGCGGGTCACACACCTACTGCGGTAAACAGTCACCATGGTTACGGACTTGATTCGGCTGAAGGTGTGCCCATAGGGCTGGCTGAGGGTTGTGTCGCTGGAGTGACGTCGTCTACGCCTATGACGGGCAAGAGGCCTGCCGCTACTACCTCACCGATCCCGCCTTATATGCCAGGGTGTGTGTATGCTCCTGCGTTTGTGATAGACTGTATTCGATGAGACGCTCACCGTGAGTTTGAAGAGTGTGTGTTTTGGATGGAGTTGTGATTGTAAAGGCATGACTCGATGTCGAACTTGTACTGTGCAAACGACGCGCATGTCACGTATTCCTCCCCCCTCACTCTCCCTCTAAACATTGTAACTAGATATTGTGTGTCACTCTGCCTTGGCATCCGCAGATGAAGTACAAAACTTTAGTCTCGCCCTGCTTTGGCATAACCTTACAGCTACTTTGTACGATTTTATTAATCTGTGTAGGAGTTCTTTGAAGTTCGAGATGGACCGGCACAAGGCTTCCGAATTGAACTACACGAGCGGACCTTCGCGTACACAGGGCACCTTTCAAGAGAACATGGCAAAGGCTGCCAACCCACAGTACATAAGATCAGCACAGAACGGTGAAGGCTCTAACAAAACACTCGAGGTGAGTGAGTGTATGTTTATTTCACTATATAACGGGAATAGGCATAGGGTTTGCTGGCAGTGTTTATGAAGTGGGAAACCTAGTTTTGACAGTGGTATAGGCTTCAGTCATCAGTATGGTTCACCCTCTTAAGATAGTCTGTATTCCGGAGTATACAAAGACGCCTGACAAGATATCAACGCGCACGTTGAGGAACATTCACGTCAAGAAATACGGTCTATGAGCAGATGCGCAAACCCGCAACATCCCGCGTATCACGTCTGGCGTTTAATGTCTATGTGGAGTAGCTGAGTACTTTTTTCATGTATACAGCCGAGCGGGTATGTAGCTTGAATCTACAGGGGATCAGTGTACAGTCCACGCTGCAAGTCATGGATGCCCGTAGAAATCCATTCCTTTGTAGAACTCCATTGGCTTGAATCTACAGGTGGTCAGTGTACAGTCCACGCTGCATGTCATGGATGCCCGTAGAAATCCATTCCTTTGTAGAACTCCAATGGCTTGAATCTACAGGTGGTCAGCGTATAGTACACGCTGCATGTCATGGATGTCCGTAGAAATCCTTTCCTTTGTAGAACTCCATTGGCTTTAATCTACAGGTGGTCACTGTATGGCACACGTTGCATGTCATGGATGCCCGTAAAAATCCATTTCTTTGTAGAACTCCATTGGCTTTAATCTGCAGGTGGTCAGTGTATGGCACACGTTGCATGTCATGGATGTCCGTAGAAATCTATTCCTTTGTAGAACGCCATTAATGAGCGACTGGCCACTGATGGACTGCATTGCTCGCATTCACAGTCTACACATGATGTCGCTGAGCTGAGGAGGAAAACACTGGCCCTTCTAGTGCAGAAGGACAAGGAAATTCGTACGCTCACGGAATTGCTTCAGACGAAGAATACCCGGTATGGCAATCAGCTCAAATCAGAAGTGTTTGTGATTTTCCGGAACACTCAGTGCTGACTGTGTGATGTTATGACAAGCCCTGGGAAGTGCAACTTCTAATTCGAGCTCCAATAGTATGGCCATGACATATATGTGGCACAGGCTTTGCCATCAATTCCTTATACCCACAGCCAAGTCAGGACTGTTGTGGGACATTCATCGTCAGATGTTCGCTCTCCAACACCACATACACATATTGATCCTCCCACCTTTTTTTGTCACCCTCTTCCGCTGAGAGTTCCGCTCGGCAAGCGAAGAGTGTATATTCATTGATGGGTATGCTGTTTTGTGCGATTAAGACTACCTGAGTTGTATGAAAACTCTGCGGAAAGAAGAACGAAATAGTTGTTGAAGTGTGTGTGCTCAAAGCTCACATTTACATATTCCTACTATTCTGTGCGTGCAGGAATGCTACATCCTCCGCCGAGGAAGAATCTCTGAGGGCCAGGATAGACGAAGCAATGGGTATGGCTTGCATAATCGTGACTCGTACGCGCCATATGTATCTTCTGTAATATATATATATGTGTGTGTGCGTGTGTGTGTGTGTGTGTGTGTGCGTATATATATATATATATATATATATATAGAAAGAGATATATATATATATATATATATATATATATATATATATATATAGAAAGAGAGAGAGATATATATATATATATATATATATATATAGAGAGAGAGAGATATATATATATATATACATAGAAAGATATATATATATATATATATATATATATATATATATATATATATATATATATATATATGTATGTGTGTATATACATAT